TACTCTTGTTAGTTTTGTTCCTGTTTGTCCGATGTAGTGTTTCTGGCAGTCTCTGCAGGGGATCTTGTAGATGACATTGGTCCTGCCCATGGCGGGGAGTGGGTCTTTGGTTTGGGTGAGCACTTGTCACAGGGTTGATGTGGGCTCGTGTGCCACTCTGATGCCCAGCGCTCGTAGAAGTCTTGTGGTGAGTTCTGACGTGTTCCTGATGTAGGGTAGTGTGATGAGTGTGTTGGGGCGTGTAGAATCTTTCTGATGCTGTTCCCGTAGGCATCTCCTGACCCAGTTCTTTGGATATCCATTATCCTTGAACACTTGGAAGAGGTATTCCTCCTCCTCTTGGCGTAGTTCTATGTTACTGCAGTGTGTTGTTGCCCTTTTAAATAGTGTTCGCACACAGCTTCGTTGTGTGTGTTGGGATGGTTACTATTGAAGTTCAATACCTGGTCTGCATGTATGGCTTTTCGGTGTACTTTCGTTTGCAGTTCCTCATTTGTCTTGCACTCTACCACGACGTCCAGGAATGGGAGTTGTTTGTTCTTCTCCTCCTCTCTGGTGAATTTTATTCCGGTGAGGGTGTTGTTTATGAGTTTGTGTGTCTCTTCTAGTTTGGTCCGTTTAATGATGACAAAGGTGTCGTCTACATAGCGTATCCATAGTTTAGGTTGGATTTGCGGAAAGGCAGTCCTTTCCAGTCTTTGCATCACTGCTTCTGCTATGAGTCCGGAGACAGGCGATCCCATGGGTGTCCCGTTGATTTGCTCGTATGTTTGGCCGTTGAAGGTGAAGTGGGTGGTCAGGCATAGGTCCAGTAGTTTAAGCATGTTGTCCTTGGAGATGGTTTCACTGGGGTCGTGTTCTTGTTCAAGTTGTGTTGTCATTGTTTCCCTTGCTAGTGGTATGTCTATTGATGTGAATAGGGTGGTGACATCAAACGAAATCATGGTCTCTTCGTCCTCTATCTTTATGTCTTTGATGGAGTTGAGGAATTCTTGGGCTGAGTGGATGGAGTGGGGTGATTTGTTGACTAGGTGCTTGAGTCTTCTTTGTAGTTCTCTGGCTAATCTGTGCGATCGAGAGTCTGGTAGGAAGACTATGGGTCTGAGGGGGACTTCTGGCTTGTGCACTTTAGGGAGGCCGTGGAATCGGGGTGTGTTGGTTCCTTCGGGTTTCATTCTTAAGAAGTCTGTTTTGTTGATCTGTCCTGTTTGTTTAAGTCTTTGTAGCGTGTATAGGATTTTGTTGCCTAGTTGTGGTGTCGGGTCAGTTTGTATTGGCCGGTATGTGTTCTCATCGGCGAGCAGTGCTTGTACTTTGGAGATGTAGTCCGTTTTATTCATTATCACTGTCATGCGCCCTTGGTCTGCAGGTAGTATAATGATGTTCCTGTCCTTCTTTAATCTGTCCAAGGCTTGTCTTTCCTGTGTGTTGAAGGTGTTGAGTTCCCTCTTTCTAGTTAGTGTCGGGACTACTGTCTGTCTTATAGTTTGTTGTATTTCTTCGTTGATATTGTCGGTACAAACTGACCCAACACCACAACTAGGCAACAAAATCCTATACACGCTACAAAGACTTAAACAAACAGGACAGATCAGCAAAACAGACTTCTTAAGAATGAAACCCGAAGGAACCAACACACCCCGATTCCACGGCCTCCCTAAAGTGCACAAGCCAGAAGTCCCCCTCAGACCCATAGTCTTCCTACCAGACTCTCGATCGCACAGATTAGCCAGAGAACTACAAAGAAGACTCAAGCACCTAGTCAACAAATCACCCCACTCCATCCACTCAGCCCAAGAATTCCTCAACTCCATCAAAGACATAAAGATAGAGGACGAAGAGACCATGATTTCGTTTGATGTCACCACCCTATTCACATCAATAGACATACCACTAGCAAGGAAAACAATGACAACACGACTTGAACAAGAACACAACCCCAGTGAAACCATCTCCAAGGACAACATGCTTAAACTACTGGACCTATGCCTGACCACCCACTTCACCTTCAACGGCCAAACATACGAGCAAATCAACGGGACACCCATGGGATCGCCTGTCTCCGGGCTCATAGCAGAAGCAGTGATGCAAAGACTGGAAAGGACTGCCCTTCTGCAAATCCAACCTAAACTATGGATACGCTACGTAGATGACACCTTTGTCATCATTAAACGGACCAAACTAGAAGAGACACACAAACTCATAAACAGCACCCTCACCGGAATAAAATTCACCAGAGAGGAGGAGAAGATCAAACAACTCCCATTCCTGGACGTCATGGTAGAGCACAAGACAAATGAGGAACTGCAAACGAAAGTACACCGAAAAGCCACACACACAGACCAGGTATTGAACTTCAATAGTAACCATCCCAACACACACAAACGAAGCTGTGTGCGAACACTATTTAAAAGGGCAGCAACACACTGCAGCAACATGGAACTACGCCAAGAGGAGGAGGAGTACCTCTTCCAAGTGTTCAAGGATAATGGATATCCAAAGAACTGGGTCAGGAGATGCCTACGGGAACAGCATCAGAAAGATTCTACACGCCCCAACACACTCATCACACTACCCTACATCAGGAACACGTCAGAACTCACCACAAGACTTCTACGAGCGCTGGGCATCAGAGTGGCACACGAGCCCACATCAACCCTGTGACAAGTGCTCACCCAAACCAAAGACCCACTCCCCGCCATGGGCAGGACCAATGTCATCTACAAGATCCCCTGCAGAGACTGCCAGAAACACTACATCGGACAAACAGGTAGGAAACTAACAACAAGAGTACATGAACACCAACTGGCTACAAAAAGACACGACCAATACTCACTCATCTCAATCCACATGGACAAGGAGAACCACGACTTCGACTGGGACAACACCAAGATCCTGGGACAGGCTAGGCAGAGACAAGCACGAGAATTCCTGGAAGCATGGCACTCCATGAAGCATGCTATTAATAAACACATTGAACTCGACCCTGTATACATTCCACTACGGAGGAAACCCGGAAGTGAGGCAATCCATCGCAACGGACCCCAGAGTTTAAAAAACCAGTTGGGAAAACAGACCGACGCTTCATCAGAGGCTGCACTGATGATGTTACCAAGCACGGTAATGAAACGTCTGCGGAACAACAAACCAGCTCGGCGAGCCAACCAACCTCAACACCCACAACCCGGGCTACAGATCTACCCCAAAACCTTAGGGAGTAGTATTCCCATGCTATGCTACAACCCACCATTACCAAGTGAGATTATCACATTCATTTGGAGAGTGCTTTCTCTCATCTAACTGGCTGCAACATTATACCGGTGTCTACATTTCAGAAGTATTTAATTGCCTGTATAGTAGCATTTTGGGATTTCCTAAAGTCAAGAAAAGTTCTATATAAATGCAATACTTCCTTTTCTCAAAAGGATCATGCTCAGTATTACTTGGCCTCATTCAAGATGAAGCAGCTATCTGTAATTCATAGAACATAGAACATAGAACATTACAGCGCAGTACAGGCCCTTCAGCCCTCGATGTTGCGCCGACCTGTGAAACCAATCTGAAGCCCATCTAACCTAAACTATTCCATTATCATCCATATGTTTATCCAATGACCATTTAAATGCCCTTAAAGTTGGCGAGTCTACTACTTTTGCAGGCAGGGCATTCCACGCCCTTACTACTCTCTGAGTAAAGAACCTACCTCTGACATCTGTCCTATATCTATCACCCCTCAATTTAAATCTATGTCCCCTCGTGCTAGCCACCACCATCCGAGGAAAAAGGCTCCCACTGTCCACCCTATCTAATCCTCTGATCATCTTGTATGTCTCTATTAAGTCACCTCTTAACCTTCTTCTCTCTAACGAAAACAGCCTCAAGTCCCTCAGCCTTTCCTCATAAGACCTTCCCTCCATACCAGGCAACATCCTGGTAAATCTCCTCTGTACTCTTTCCAATGCTTCCACATCCTTCCTATAATGCGGTGACCAGAACTGTACGCAATACTCCAAGTGCGGCCGCACCAGAGTTTTGTACAGCTGCAACATGACCTCATGGCTCTGAAACTCAATCCCTCTACCAATAAAACCTAACACACCGTACGCCTTCTTAACAACGCTATCAACCTGGGTGGCAACTTTCAGTGATCTATGCACATGGACACCGAGATCTCTCTGCTCATCCACACTACCAAGAATCTTACCATTAGCCCAGTACTCTGTATTCCTGTTACTCCTTCCAAAGTGAATCACCTCACACTTTTCCGCATTAAACTCCATTTGCCACCTCTCAGCCCAGCTCTGCAACCTATCTATGTCCCTCTGTAACCTGCAACATCCTTCTGCACTATCCACAACTCCACCGACTTTGGTGTCATCTGCAAATTTACTAACCCATCCTTCTATGCCCTCATCCAGGTCATTTATAAAAATGACAAACAGCAGTGGCCCCAAAACAGATCCTTGAGGTACACCACTGAGGTACACCACTAGTAACTGAGATCCTTGAGGTACACCACTAGTAACTGAAGGAGTAGTATTCTGATGTGATCAGTGTATTGGAGCTGCTACACAGATTTTGCCCGTGACCTTTGACAGTTTTCAAAGAGCATTTTCAAACCTACTATGTTAAATCCTACTACTTGCAGTTCTGTGAAATGGACAGAATGTTACACTGGAGGGAATGTCAAAAGCTTTGCATTCTTGATTCACCTCCTAGAGTCAATGTGTAGTGTCATGTGCCTTCTCTCTGCTTGATGGAATGAGGAATCGGAATGTTTTTTTGGTCCAGTCAGTTTCTATATCAGGATCTGTATAAAATCTCTGCTGATTAATATTTAACTCAAGGACTTAGAACCACAATGTGGAGTTTGGAACCTAACCTCTGTTCCATCTAGATAAACGTTAAAAGCTTCTGCCCTAACTTTTTCAGTGGCTCCTTCTCCAGAGCTGATTTGATTTTGTAAGTTCCCCTCCAAGCCATTCACCTCTCCCTCCACCTCTGCCTTTTTTTGATACATAGATATCTCCTTTGAGGCTGCCCCTTCTAATTCCTCCCACCAGGATACACGGTGTTGAAAAATGTCGACGCTTTGGGTGCTGCTAATCCTCATGACCTCGTTGTCTTCAATTTCTGCAAAACGTGAGTACGTGGTTGGTGTTTCTTTCTAATGTGTGTAGCTTGCGGATGCAGTGCACTGAAGCATTTATCCTAGCCGGTGCTTCTATTCACAATTAATGGGACACAAGGACTGTTTTGCTGAAACAACAGATGGGTCGTTTGCAGCCAATACATTGCTGCTTGTGTCAAACGTATCACTGTGTTGTTCTACAGTCATTTGGAAGATGAGAAATTTAATTGTTGGACATTGAGGGGGAAACAGGAATCCACTATCCCTAATATGGAATTCAGGAGAAACCTCTTTACTCAGAGAGCTATTTACTGGAATTTACTGGACTAATTTTAGATAAATTTAAGAAGAGAGAAGTTGATGAGCTCAAGTTTATGCTGATAGGTTGCGTTGAACTGAGCTAAGATTTTTGATTTGATTTATTGTCACATGTACCTAGATACAGTGAAAGGTATTGTTTTGCATGCAGTGCAGGTAGATCATACCATATAAAGTGCATTTGGGTAATAGAGCGAGGAAAGTAATGTTGTGGCTACAGAGGACGTGCACAAAGAGTGAGATCAACATCAAGTTTAAAATTTGAGAGGTCCATTCAGAAGTCTAACAACAGCGGGGAAGATGAGACGATGCTCTTGCAGAGTTTAAGATGACAGGTGGATGAGTTGGGTCAAGTGGCTTGTGTCTGTCCTGTTGGTTCGATTCAATTCCTTAATATGGAATCAAAGAAACTTATCTGGGCTGAATGGCCTTTATTTTGTTCTTTTGAACTTCATTTCTTTCTCTTCTGATCTGAACCTACTTTGTTCATTAGGTAGTAGGAGCCAATGGGAACATAAAAACTTGTTTTTGCCTACACAAGGATATCAATTCGCACAAATTGCACGCCATAAAAGTTGGGTAGCACATTCCTTCACAGTATCCAGGCACACATGAACATAAAGTAAGGGCATGAGTAGGCCATTCAGCCCCTCAAGCCTGCTCTGTCATTTGATAAAGCCATAGCTGATCAACTCCACCTTGCTTCCTCCTACATCCTCTGACTCCCTCGTCAATCAAGAATCTATCTCACTAACTTTAGAAATCATCAATGATGCTGCCTCTACTGCTGTCTGGGACGGGAGTTACAAGCCTGACTAGAGGAGGAATATTGTCCTCAGTCTAACATGCCAACCAGACTGCCAGCTGAGTGGGGGTGGAAAGATTAAAGGGTCAGTGATTGTCTAATTCTGGGGAAATGAAAGCCTCAGAGGAGATATTTCTCAAACGGTCAAGATTCTTCAGGAATAAATAAACTGAATAGTGAAAATAGTGTCAGGGTTGTTATGGTCTCTAGGGGACAAGAGCTAAAGCTTAAAAAAGATAATATTGGATAAAATTACATTACACAGAAGGTTATGAATTTGGCAAATGGGCAGTTCATGGAAGCAGATATTGTGCAAAGCACTACAGGAGAATTGGATAGATATTTTAAGGAATGGATGATTGAGTGTTGTTGATGTTTGAGATAACTATAATCCACAGTCTTTTCTGGTCATACATTTTCCCATGTTCCCACAGCTTTCAAAACTTTATAGAATTCATTCACAGGTTGTGGGTGTTGCTGGCTATGCCAGCTTTATTGCCCATCCCTAAATGCCCTGGAGAAGATGGTTCTGTGCCACCTTCTTGAATACAACTGGGTGGCTTACTGTGTCCTAAAGATTCAGCTACATTGCTGTGGACCTAGTGGTCCCATGGGCCAGACTGGGTAAAGGTGACAAATTTCCTTCTCTGAAGGGTATGAATGAACAAGATGGCTTTTTCATCAATCCAGTAGTTTCAGAGTCACTACAACAAGTCTAGCTATTTCATTTCAGGTTTATTTATTCAATTCAATTTCATCAGCTGTTGTGGTGATGTTTGAACCCATGTTCCCAAATCATTAGTCCAGACTTCGGAATTATTTGAATAAAAATTTATTCCGTTTGTTAATATACCCCACCAGCTGTAAACCAGGTATTGTAAATTGAACATAACTGCAAGTTGAGTCTAGGAAGAAGCTTGCCTCTGAATATGAATATGGATTCCGCACCTCCTTTAACTCTACTCTGGATTTAAAGGCTTTAAAATGATGGTGTTTTACAGCATAGTTCGATTCAGAGTACGATTCAACTTGTGCCACACTCAATCACCTCGTCCCTTTGAATTTTTCCTTTCTAATTATAGATCCAACTCCCTTTTGAAAGTTATTATTCAATCTGCTTTCGATATCATTTCAGGTAACACGTCCAGACCACTTGCTGTACTAAAACGTCACTTTGCAGTTTCTTTATATGACTCTGTTTGAAAATCTTGCAAGAGGTTGGAAGAACACATATTGTACTGATGTTACAGCCTAGACCCTAAAAGAATATTATAGCCCTGTGTTGTGGATCTATGCAGATGTATTATTATGTCCTTTATGGAGCACCTTCCGTCTTTTTAATAAACACTCTTGCTTTTTGCATTCCTACAACTCATTGTCCTTAGTTAGACTCTAAGGGGCATGGCTTAGAGCTGAGCTTACATGCCTCTTGAGCCTATCAGACAATGAGACATGTTTTCTCATCCAGTGAATATGGCTGTATCTTTCCCCTGTGCAGCGCAACCGTGATTGCAAACCCAGTGTGTGTGCCCATGTGGGTGTAGGTTCTGGGGGTGGAGGGGGGGAGACTGAGTTAGTCGAGTTAGTGTTTGGTGGTGGGGGAGGCTTAAACAAAAGCAAAATACTGCAGAAGCTGGAAATCTGAAACAAACACAGAATGCTGGATGAGCTCAGCTGGTCTGGCCACATCTTTGGAGAGAGGAGAAACAGAGTTAATGTTTTGAGTCCAGTTCGGCTCTTCTTCAAAACTGAAAGGAGTTGAAGATTGGTTTTGTTTAAACTTTCGACAGAGGTGGAGGAGGGGCAAATGTGACAGCAGTAGTAATGGCCCAATGTAAAAGGCAAAGCTATTGTTAAACATTAACACAGACTGCAGTGGTTCAAGAAGACAGTTCACTGCCACCTTCTCAAGGGCAACGAGGAATGGGAAATAAATGCTGGCTAGCAATGACCACATCCCACGAGTAACTAAAATAAAACAAAAAAACCCTTAGACTCTTGCACTGGGGTTCCACACCATCTGTTACCTTGTTTCCTCTTCCACCTCTTCCTCAGAAGAAATACTTTTGATAATGTTAACTGTGCTTTTCCCCATGAGGATAATTCTTAGGTAGATTTTTGGAGGTGCTGAGTCATATTTGCCCACTTTACATCATTTCCCCAACAATTACTTTCAGGTTTCATTTTAGTGGTGAGCTGGCTGTAACATAGAATTACACAAAAGTTGCAGTACAGAATGAGACCATATGGCCCATCAAGCCCATGTCAAGATTTATTTTCCACATGTGCCTTCTCCTATTTTTGATGAACAAGGGAGTCAAGGATTATGGTGGTGCTGACAGGAAAGTGGAGTTACAGCCATAATCAGATCAGCCTCACTCACATTGACTGGTAGAATAGCTCAATGGGCTGAATGGCCTACTGCTCCCATCTCTTATGATCAAACTTTATCAAAATATCCTTCTAGTATTTTCCATCTCGTCAGTTCACCTGGATTTCCTTTACACGGAGCTATGTTGCTTGCTTCAACCATTTGCTGCGGAGAGTGAGTTCCATATTGTCACCACTCCCTGGGTAATGAAGTTTCTTCTGATTTTTCTACTGGATCTCTTGTGACTACCTTATCTTTTACAATCCCTCATCTTGGTCTTCCCAGTGGAAAAGTTGAAACACCTTCTCCATGTTTTCCCTGATAAACTGCTTCAAAAAGTACATCCTTTATTCAGTCAACTGATTTATTTTTTAGAGATAAGAGCTCCACGACCTTCAGCCTTTCCTAGTGATTTGAATCTCACAATGTGGCAAGAGGCAGAGAAATTTGCAATTGATTGATTTTATTTACGATATACCATTCTTAAGAAAGGGGTTGATACAGTTCTGGAGACCAATCACATCGAGGAACACGGAGATAGTGCAGGATAGTGGCAATGAGGTAAGCTGATCAGCCATGATCTAATTGAGAGGTGGAACAGGCTGAATTGAATGAACGGTCTCCTCTTGTTTCTATGTATCTGTGAACGGTTGCATGCCGTTATCAGGCAGAGGGTTGCAGTAGTTTCTGAACCTCTGCGCACACAACATTGTGCTTTAAGTTGTCCACTGAAACTTGGATTCATGGGGATGGATCAGTGTCACTGATGTTAAGTTCCAACTCATAAACCTGCATGCAAGTTTGAACTTTTGCACCCAGTTTTATGGATTGTGACAACAATGTATTTTGATAAGCTGCTTGATGGGGAATTGTTCCATTGAGTTTATGAAGACTTCACCTTATCATGCACTTACTATAATTAGTGTAGTTTCTATGTGTCTGTACTTCATCGAGCCACAAGCATTGTATCCCATATCAAGACATCAGTACTAGTGCTTCTGAAAATCTCGCTGGAGTGCCCAGGGAGAACTAGAGTTGTAGCTCACATCATGCTTTAGTTATACAGGGTATTGGTGAGACCACTTCCAGAGGACTGTGGACTACTACAACGCAAGATGTAAGAGCAGAAGTAAGCCATTCAGCCAAGTGAGTCTGCTATGGCTGATCTAATCATCCTCAACTCCATTTTCCTGCCTTATTCCTACAACCCTGAGTTCCCTTACTGATTAAAAAAAAAATCTGTTATTCTCAGCCTTGAATATACTAACATCCCAGCCCCAACAGCCCTCTGTGTACAGTACTAGTCTCCTTATTTAAGGAAGGAATTAAATGCCTGGGAATCAGTACAGAGGAAATTTACTACACTAATATCTGGAATGGGTTGTTTCTATTACAAGAAAAAGTTAAACTGGTCAGACTTATATTTTCTGGAGTTTAAAAGAGTGAGAGATGATCTCTTCTCTCTCCTGGAACTGAAATCCATGTATTGGTCACTCTTAGTGCAAAGAACTTTTTTGGTATCAATAATTTGTCCGGTACTAATCTGAATTTGTAACCCTTTGTCCTCACAGAATCATAGATCCCTCATAAGTCACACAAGGAAGCCATTATACTATTTGTGCCTGTGTTGGCTCTATTATGAGCCTTCCAATTAATTTTACTCCTCTATCCTTTCTCTGTAGCCTGAAAATCTTTCCTTTGAATATTTTCCTTTTCAATTCCAGCTTTGATACTTACTGTTGAATTCCACCAGCCAATCAGGCAGGACCCTCCATACACTCACAGTTTCATTTGAGGACATTTCCTGAACGTATTTTTTTTTTAACCATCTTTTACACCCCCGTAAGATCATTTCTCAATTAAAATTCCAAAATGAGTAAACTCAAGGCTGTCTTTCTGTATTAACTTGTGTAAATATATATTCTGTTGCTGATGTGCTATATTTAATGGAGGTGATGAGAGAGACAAACTTGTCACTGCAGAGCTGGTTAGAACCCTCATCACCTCATTTCATGAAGGCCCACTGCATTAAGTAGCATCTAGGTACTAAGAAACATACAAAGTAGGATCAGATGTAGGCCATTCAGCCCTACCTGTTCTTCCATTCAATAAGATCATGGCTGATCTGTTCGTTTTTTGAATTTCACATTCCCATCTATAATAACCATTGCCTAATAAGAACCCTCCATCCGTGTATATTTTTAATAACCTGCGTCCACTGTCCTCTGAGGCAGATAGATCGAAAGTCTCTTAAAGAGGAAAGGTTTGTGTTCAGCAAGGGTGATACCTTAATTTTAAAACAGTGTCCCCTGGTTCTGGATCACCCACAAGAGGAGACATTGTTTCCGCATCTACTTTATCAAGACCATTTAGGATCTAATACACTTCGATCAAGTCATCCCTCATTCTTTGGGCTCATTTCCACTAGAGTTTCAATCTGTCCAATGTTCCTCACAAGACAACCTGCTTATTCCAAGTGTCAATCTAATAAATCTGTGAGCTACCTCCAATACATTCACATCCTTTCTTAAATAAGGAAGCCAAAACTGCACACAGTATTCGAGATATGGTCTCATGTGTATAACTGAAACATAACACCATTCCTTTAATGTTCAATTTACTTAATAATAAAGGGTATCAATCCCTTAGCCTTCTTGTTATGTGCTGTACCTGCTAGTATTCACAACCTGTCCTGCATAAGAGTGGTGCTGTGAAGTTCACAGTATTTACACTGTCTGCCTGAAACCATGTGACAAGCTATTAAAAAAATATCCAGGGCAATTTGAAAAAAAAACTCCAGGAAATTTCTCTCCCACACCTTAGTTAATCCAACAATTTCAAGAGATCACTCTGACCCAGATTAGTTTCACCTTCTCTGCCTTTGAGCCACTCCAGGACTCAACGGTTAAGGAAGGTGTGTTTGTATCTTGTCTAAACTGGTTGAAAATCAACCTGCGAGTCCTTCCAACACATGCCAAGGACAGGAGTAAAAGGAGAAATTCCTGGTCAGCCATGTGATGGGAAGAAATTCGGAGACTCTGCCATCACTGTCTATAGCACCAGGCCTTAATATGCGTGTAAAAGCATATGTTGTCACAGCACTCAGACTCACTGAGCATGCTGTGATGTACACACCTTTTGTTTGATTGAGGTGATCACAGCCTCGGAATAACCAACACAAAGGATTAAGGTTGAGAACTGTTTAACAAGTTATAGCTTGTGAAAATCTCCCATGACATTGCTACCAACAAATAGTGACAGGAAGTAGGGTTTTTGCGGTGCAGTGGTAGTGTCCCTGTCTCTGAGCCAGAAGATCTGGGTTCAAGACTCAAGACTCTTGGAGTGATAGACAGTTTTGGCAGAGTCTCCGGCTTTCCTTCCATCGCAGGCCAGACCAGAAATCTCTCTTGCTGTTACTGTTAGCTCTTTGCATGTGTTTAAGGGGCTTGCGGGTTGATATTCAACCTGGGCCAGAGGTGTTTTATGATATGTCTGAACAGGAAGATTACAATTATCTGTACTGACAGGAGCACATTGTAATCTATCAATTCAAACTGCAAAGTGTATCTGGGTGTGATTAGACTGTGGCTGAATGTTTAATGTGAGATCTAGATCCTGAAAATGCTCATCAGTTAGAAGCTAATTCCCCCAACCATACCCTAAGGTCATTTAGAGAGTAATTTTTTTTGTAGTAATCCAGCATCTTCAGGAAATGACATTTTTCTCATGATTGACTTGCGTCTATAACGATGAAATGTGGTGATCCAGGGCTTGATGGTCTATGTCAGACCTGCTCAAATTCCACTGGTAGCTATCCCTCTGGTAATGTTTAAATTGAATCAGAGAATACAGGACCATGAGGAAGCCACTCAGCTCATCAGTTCTGTTTTACCATTAGATTAGGTCAACCCACCTTCATTGCATAATGCGTCCAAATACCCTGATTGATTATAACTCAACCAATCTGTTTTGTAATTTTCCCTTAATCCCCAGGCCTCAATAGCTGGAGGGAATTGCGAATTTCTGCTATTCTCCTTAATATCACTTTTCAATTGCCTGGTTCTAATTGTGAGATTATGGTTCCTTTTTGTGGATTCTACGAGTTTGTCTCTAAATAATCCATCAAATCATTTAATCATCAGTCAAAGAGATCGCCCTAAAACTCCTGGATTCAACAGTTTGATACTTCTGAATTCATGAGCTAAAGTGTGATGGAAATTTATCATTTGAGTGAAAAACGCACAAAACTTTCTATACACTGACAATATAGACACATTGTTTTCACTGCAATGCAATTAATATTCTCTCACGTGTTTCAGGTAGTTACACGCAATATTTCCAGCCTGTTTGGGCCAGATTTTATTGCCCCTCCCTAGTTGCCATTGAGAAGGTGGTGGTGAGCTGCCTTCATGAATTGCTGCAGTCCACCTGCTGTGGGTTGACCCACAATGCCCTTAGGGAGGGAATTCTCAAATGAGCTGAGCACGGTGCCAAGGCGGAAGTAGGCGTTGTCTTAGTGAGGGTGCTGATCTGTCGTTGACATCTCACCTCAGAGAGAAGTGGGAAGCTGAGGGTGACGATAGTCTGGTTCAGCCTCCAGGAAAAGGCTTATGGATTGAGGTTTGTGTCAGAATCTGAACCAAATGACTTTGGTCTTCCCAATAGCCAGCTGGAGGAAATTTCTGCTCCTCCAGGAAAGGATGTCAGGAAAGCAGTTTGACAAATCAGAGACAGGAGAGGGATCGAGAGAGAGGTAACAGAGAACTGAATGTCACCATTCAATGAGAAGAATGTACTTCCTTTCACTAACACTTTAGGTACAAGGATGTGAAGGAATGGTGGACCAGCCATGGTAATTTGCCCCATAGTGTCCCGGGATGTGTAGACTAGGTGGGTTAGCCATGGGAAATGCAGGGATATGGGGATGAGGTGGGGGGCGTGCTTAGTCTGTGTGAGTTGCTCTTCAGAGGGTCAGTGCAGACTCAAAGGGCTGAATGGCTTCTTTTCATGCTGTAGGGATTCTATGCTTCTGTGATTCTAGGTCCCTTGCACGTGAATCATCTGTCTTGCTGTAAGTTTGGTTCTCTGATGCAAACACTGATGAACTTTCTAATGAGGCAATGCAATCGTTGCTTGGGGACCTGTCACAAAGTGGACAGCAACCTTCACTTTCAACAAAGTGGGTGTGAACTGAGATACTCCTCATAGGAGTACAGCTTGCTTACAATCCAACTTATTATAATTTTAACTTGCTGTTTTTAACCAGCACAACTTGGTGGACCAAGGTTTAATGCTGAGAAGACCTACAAATACAGTTATACCATGGAGATACAGTTAGACAGAGGTAGAGGAATGGACGAAGAGAGTGCCGGATTTAAAATTGCATCCAGCATCAACGTTGACTTGCTGTGGCGGAACTCAAGCAACGAAGGAGATCAGCTTATCAGAATTACGGTAGGTTCTGATTAATGGTAACCATTTTAACCGTAGAATGATTCAACACTCAAGGGGACCATTTGGCTCCTTGTACCTGTACTGGGAGCAGAGGTGGAGGGAGGGTTTGCTAGGGGAGAAGAATACTTACTGCTTTTGGTGATTGTTCTCTTCTCTCCCTTTGAAGCCACTTCTTGACTCTTTCTTTAGCTTCAGTCACAAGGCTCAGAAATGTCAGTATAGCAAGAGTTAGGGTGCTGACAGGAATCCACTGATTAACTAAGTGACTGAGTAAATATAGGGAGGGGCAAAAGGCAGGTCCTGGCAGGGAGCAGTGGAGAGGGGTCATTGCTGCCAACTGTCTGTCGCTCCTATGCTGCTATGTTTGTGCCCTGGCATCCTTGGAGAGGGAGCACATGATGTCCATTCTCAATACTTTTAGAGAGTTGGGCATCATAGAGGGTGGAGTGCCTTGTCTCCCCTTCCAACTCCATTTTGATGTAAGCCCCTCCCTCACTCCCTACTTCTCCTCACGTTTGGTAATTTGTATTGCCTTTAGAGAACGCAGAAGAGTACAGTACAGGAACAGGCCCTTCAGCCCACCGTGCCTGTGCCACTGTTGGCTATTTTATTTAACTTGATTAGTTGGAAACACGGGAGATTTCATTGGTGAAGGATAAATGATGACCATTACCATGGGTAATTTGGTTGTGGGGATACTTTCTGTTATTGGGGTGGCACGGTGGCTCAGTGGTTAGCACTGCTGCCTCACAGCGCCGGAAACCCGGGTTGTATTCCACCCTCGGGCGACTGTCTGTGTGGAGTTTGCACATTCTCCCCGTGTCTGTGTGGGTTTCCTCTGGGTGGTCTGGTTTCCTCCCACAGTCCAAAGATGTGCAGGCTAGATGGATTGGCCATGCTAAATTGCCCCAAAGTGTCCAGGGATGTGCAGGTTAGGTGAATTAGCAATGGGATAGACAGGGTGATAGGTAGGAGGAATGGGTCTGGCTGTGATGCTCTCATGGAGGGCTGAATGGCCTGCTTCCACACTGTAGAAATTCTACGATCCTGTGAAGATATAAAAAAAGAGGAGAAAGTGGCCCTATTGTTGTGTGGCTGATTAGCCAATAAATTCTTTCCATGAGAAAAAGATGTTTTGAGTTATATTTCACCCATATGCTTAGATCAGAATTGACAAGGAAGATCCCGGTGACTGAGGATCCCAAGACCGCATCAATCTCCCACCTGCCCAGGTGTTTTCTTACTCATTTTGACAGGAGACAAGGTGAAGATGATTGGGGACCTTCAGAGTTGGTTGCTTTTGGTTTGTTTTGGGGAACATGATTCTATGCGCAGGGTGTATTTTGTACATTTCAGACCCCTGACTTTCCGGGTTTAATCTTTCACCCTTCAGATACAGGAGTTTGAAGACAGTTCACCAGTCTCTGGTGACTGTCAACATACAGGCCAGGAAGATCCCAGACTCAGTCTCTGGCTGGAGTTGCCAACCTTCCAGGATCTTCCAGGTTCCATGTGACCACCAGTAAGCAAAAGGCCAGGAACAGAGAGTGTGTGTTCCCACTGCAGGAGATAGGGCACCATCATTAAAAATGTCTGTCACAATTCAATGGGCCTGCATTTTAGACATAAATATTTTTAATATTTAGCGGAAATATTTGTTATTAGTAAACAACCAGCCTGGCTAATAGGGAATAGACTTTTTTCCTTATGGATCTTACCAGGAATGAATGATCACTGGGTTCTCTATAACAGTATTGTAGTTATTTGTACATTAAATAATTAGGATGAAAACACCTTCTCTCAGTTCAGTAATAAATGGATCAAATGCTGGAAGTATTTAGCACCTTGGGCAGCATCTGGTGGAAGGCCACAGTCCAAGAACAGGGTGAGTAACCCAGGGTGGAGGTATCTCTGGAGGCTTCATTGCATTGCCCTCCCCATCACAATCATTTCCAGTTGATTAAGAATGACTGTAGATACAGGGAGGATGTTTCTTTGATTGTGAAGTCTCAAACCAGAGAACACAGTTTCGGGACAGAGTGTAGAGACTATTAATCTAGAGACCCAGCTAATGTTCTGGGGACCTGAGTTTGAATCCCACCATGTCAGATAGTAGAATTTGAATTCAATAAAACAAAAGAGTCTAATGATGACCATGAATCCAATGCCAATTATTGGAAAAACCCACCTGTGTCACTGATGTCCTTTTAGACAAGGAAATTGCCATCCTTACCTGGTCTGGCTTGCATGTGACTCCAGACCCACAGCAATGTGGTTGACTCTTAACTGTCCTCTGGGCAATTAGGGATGGGCAATAAATGCTGGCCTGGCCAGCGATGCCCTCATCCCATGAATGAATTTTAAAAAAGACCGTTTAGGACTGACATGAAGAAAGATTTCTTCACCCAGAGAGTGGTCACCCTATGGAATTCTCTACCACAAGAAGCTGTGCAGGTCAAGTCACGAAATATATTCAAGAAAGAGACCGATATATTTTTAGATTTTAAAGGGATCAAGTATTTTGGGGAGAAATGGAAATACAGCATTGAGATAGAGGGTTGGCCTTGATCGTATTGAATGGCAAAGCCGACTCAAAGGGCTGAATGGCCTACTCCTGCTCCTAGTTTCTATGTTGCTATGACTTCTCAATAACAATGGATCCACCCAGTTGGGCAATCGAACTGTCACCCTATTCACCTTACCCAAAGGAGGTTCTTCCTGTACTCTCCAATAATGAACAAAACTCATGATCTAGGATGGTGTGGTGAGCAAACCCAGTGGTTAAGCTCAAAAGCCAGACACTTCCAATCTTTTTTTGCCTGTCTAACTCTATATTAGCATAGACTTCTCCCCCATGCATTTACCTATTTTACATTTCAATGTATCTATGCTGCCAGTCCCTGAGGTAGTGAGTTCCACACTCTCACCACTCTCTTCATATATACATTTCTCCAGATTTCCTTCATGTTGGCGATTAACATCTCCATACTGTGTCTAATTTTGTCTCTCTTTCCCCATCACCCCCAAACAGAAACATCTTTGCTTCGTGTCAAACACATTCATAATCTCGAAAACCCAACCATGAAATTATTCAACACTGAGAGAGTCTGTTCAGTCTGTTGTTTCTATTCACACATCCCACTGCTCATTCCTCATGTTTCTGTCAATGTTTTTTCCTTTCCAAGTATTTATCTAATTCACTTTTGAAAGTTTCTATTGAAACTGCTTCCACTGCTTTTCCAGGCAGTGTGTCCCAGATCACAACTACTCACTGCCTTGTTTTGATTTTAATGCTCAGTTTCTCCCCTGATATTTAACTGCTGAATTGCATCCTTTCGCAGATAACTGATGTCAACTTTGAAAATGTGAGTGAACGAACGGATGACAAAAACATCTTTAAAGACTCTACAGGAGGAGGGATTCTGGGAAAGAGCAATCTGGCAGCTTTGAAGAGCCCAGTCCTCATCCACTGGATTAATGGGAAGGTACTGTGGACTGTTTTGTGATCAGCCTAAACTAAAATAGATTATCTGACCATTGTGACCTTGCTGCTTATGGGGTCTTGCTGTACATAAATTGATGGCCATGCTTGTCTATATTATGACAATGGCTACACTTCAAAAGGTGTTTCATTTGATTTGATTTCATTTATTATTATCACATGTACCAAGGTACAGTGAAAAGTTTTGTTTTGCATGCAGTACAGGCCGATCATACCATACAAAGTGCGTTAGGGTAATAGAACAGAGCGAGGAATACAATGTTACAGCTGCACAGAAAGTGCACAGAGAGCATGATCAACGTTAAATTTAAAATTTGAGACAACCATTCAGAAGTCTAATACCAGAGAGGAAGAAGCTGTTCTTGAATCTGTTGGTATGTGTGTTTAAGTTTTTGAATCTACTGCCCAAGTGAAAAGGTTGGAAGAGATTATAAGCAGGATGGGAGGGGTCTTTGATTATGTTCCTGCCTTCCCAAGGCAGTGAGAAGTATAGATGGAGTTAATGGATGGAAGGTTGGTTTGTATGATGGATTGGGCTGTGTTCATTACTCTCTGTAGTTTCTTACGGTCCTGGGCAGAGCAGTTGCCGTACCAAGCTGTGATGCATCCAGATAGAATGCTTTCTATGGTGCATCTAGAAAAATTGCTAAGAGTCTTGCTGCAACACTCTTTGGGATGTGAAGTGAAAGGTGCTATATAGATGCAAGTCCATTTTCTCTTTTTTAAATTGCATCCCTCGTGATTCATTGACATGAGCAGCTTTGAAATCCTTTATTAAACTTAAGGCACTAATTGCAGTCGCATTGAAAGGCTCTAAAAACTTTGGATGTATCTACAGGGATCAGGGGAATCTTATAGAAACTTATCAGATATTAACCAGCCTAGAAAAGTTCCTGAGCAATATTGCAAACAATTGCAGCAGATCACATCCATAAAACAGGACTAGAACTGGAGAAAGAAAAAGTTAGGGTTGGATACTAAGAAGAACACTGCTATTTAAGGAGATATTTCTTCTTTATTAATTCATGATCATTGCTAAGGCCAGCTTTTGTTACCCTCACTAATTGCACTTGAGAAGGTGGTGGTGAACCAGCTAAAACTCAGCACTCTGTGTGGTGTAGATCTGTCCATGGTGCTGTGGGAAGGGAGGTCCGCTGTGACCCCTCAATGATGAAGCAATGGTGATATATTTACAAGTCAGGATGGTGTTTGACATGCAGGAGAACTTGCTTGTAGGTGATGTGCCTGTGTACTTGCTACCTTTGTCCTTCTAAGCGGTTGAAGTTACAAGTTTAGAAATAATCAAGATGTGGAATACATTGGATAGGCGACAGAAATTTCTAATGATCAAAAGCACCAGTTAGTTGACTTTGCAGCTGGTAATAGAGGTTGCTTCTCTTGGTGCATGCACAAGGGTTTTTTTTTAATTCTGGTCAATCCAGAATTTATTGCCCACACCTTACTTTGCTAGAGAAGGTTGTAAGAAGCTGTCTCCTTGTACTGCTGCAGTCCTTGCGGTGCTTTACTCAAGGGTCATGTATTTGCCCTGTGTCTCCAATGTGTAATTTTGTGAATGGATCAGATCTAGCTCTGCCAATAATTACAAAGGTAATTTGTCAGCATGCGAATATACTTATGGTTGCCAGGGACCCAATGGTACTTTGACCTCTTGATGGTCATTACATCACTAATATGATTAAGGAGGAATGTCCACATTCAGAATTAACCAATTAAATTGTGACACAGTGGCTCAGTGACTATAATGCAGCCGCAGGAATTTTGCTGACTGTGGGAGTGACAAATGAATTCAAGGTTCAGCCAAGGATTTACTAGCAGCGGCCAAGAGAAGATAATACTTTACAATCACAAATGATATTGCAGGTCATAACCATGTATTTGAGACTGTAGAGGTCTACTGGTGCTGACAGTGGACCAGAAATCAATGGATACTGTCAAATGATCTGGGGGCTAGAGTTTAAATCTTACCAAGGCAGGTGGTAAGAGTCATAAAGTCATAAAGCATGGAAACAAAGCCTTTGGTTCAACTTGTCCATGCTGACCATGTTTCCCATTTGCCTGCATTTGGCTGCCCTCCCTGTAAACCTTCCATATTCATGTACCTGTCCAAATATCTTTTAAATGTCATAACTGTACCTGCAACTTCCTCTGGCCTTTCATTCCAGATATGAACCACCCTCTGTGTGAAAATGTTCCCCCTCAGGTCCCTTTTAAATCTTTCAACTTTCACTTTAAAATTATGCCCTCTAGTTTTTAACTCTGCTACCCGGGGAAAAAGACCTTTGCAATTCACCTCATGATTTTATAAACCTCTGTAAGTCACCCTTCAACATCCTATGCTCCAGGAAAAAGAAGTCCCAGCCTATCCAATTCATAAAAATCTGGAAGTGAATGTTAATCACAGTAATTGTATCATGGAAACCCATCTGCTCAGTTTGGTCACTGGCTGACTCCAGATCCTTTTTCTGATGAAGGGTCTAGGCCTGAAACGTCAGCCTTTCTGCTCCTGTGATGCTGCTTGGCCTGCTGTGTTCATCCAGCTCTGCACCTTGTTGTCAAGGTAAAGTTACTATAATCTTACCAAACAATGGGGCTACTCTCTCTCTCTCTCTCTCTCTCTCTCTCTCTCGAGAGACACAATTGGTATTGGGGACAGGGGCAGTGGAAGGTCACATGATGAGGCCTCCAGGAGTGCACCCAGCCAGAGTTAGCGACCCAGCTGAATAGGTGGATGTGAAACTTGCAGTTATGTTAGAGATCCCTTTCGGAGGGCTCACACTGGAACAATGCACTTCCTCCTGTGTTATAACATTCCAATAATCTACAGCAGTTTGCGTGGTACCCATTCCAGTGAGTGGAATTCTAGCCTCTATTTTATAAATGAGTTTTACCTATGCAGGAGTGATAACTTACAGGTTTCTGAATCAGAAGGGTGAGGGCAGAGGTTGAGAAGGAGGTCCTCATGTTAACCTCATCCAGTGCAGGAATTGAACCCGTACTGTTGCCAACCCCTTTGCATTGCAAACTAGATGACTGACCCTCATCTCCAGATCTACAGCAATGCGGCTAACCCTAAACTACCCCCTGAAACACTCAGCAAGCCAGTTCAAGGGTAATTAGGGACAGGCAAAAAAAAAACACTAGCCTTGCTAGTGATGCCCCCATCTCACGAGAAAAGGCAAGAATTTTATTTATTCATTTGTGGGATGTGGGCGTCGTTGGCTCTCCAGCATTTATTGCCCATCCTTAGTTGCCCTTGAGAAGGTGGTGGTCAGCTGACTTCTTGAATAGCTGCAGTCTAACAATTAGTTTAAGGTTAGTCCTAACAACCCTCTAGAATTGCCCTGGAGTTTCCAGGAGTTGAATATTGATTTCCAGGCTCTGACTTGGGCAAAAAAAACCCCAAGGGAGACAGTTCATCAGAGTCTTCCAAAAAGTTGTCTGCTTGTCTAAAAACAAATTGTAATTAGAGGACAAATGTATTCAAAAACAAATATTGGAGATGAGGAGAAAAGACCATTAAATGAAAGTGCAGAATCATTCAGTCAGCAAAGATATTTCCTTGCTTCTGATTTGGCCATGAGAAGATGGGCACCATGATAATGGATCGACCACTGGAGGCAGTGTCGGGAGCAGGAGCAGTGGAAGGTCACGTGATGAGGCCTCCAGGAGTGCACCCAGCCAGAGTTAGCAACCCAGCTGAACAGGTAGATGTGAAACTTGCAGTTTTGTTAGATATCCCTTTCAGAGAGCTCACAACAGAAAAATGCGCTTCCTCCTCTGTTATAACATTTTGATAATCCATAGCAGTTTGCTTGGTACCCATTCCAGTGAGTGGAATTCTAACCTCTACTTTTTAAATGAGTTTTACCTGTGCAGAGGTGATAACTTACAGGTTTCTGGATCAGAAGGGTACACTTTAACTCTGTGAATTATTGTAATGATCATTGTGTGATAAAGTCTTCATTACTACACGGATGGCAATAGGGTTGTGCCTGAGTGTTGCTTAAGGTTCAGAGTCTGGAATCCTGGAGGCTGCAAATAGAGATAGGACACCTTGGCAGTTCAAAAGTCAGGGTGCTTATTCGTAACCTTAATAAAAAGAAAACTGATAGATTTATCTGTGACTTTACACTCACTGGTTGTCAAATGCAGAGTAAAGTGCACCTTTATGTGGTGAGTTGTCTTATCTTTCAGGTAGATGATACCTGATACCATAAATGTGCCATCACAACATTCTTAATTGGAACAAGAGACAGGAGGTGATATTGAACTTGTTCAAGATGCTTGTTAGACCTTAACTGAAGTATTACGTATATTTGTGGGCATCACATTGTAGGAAAAATGTGAACATTATTGAAGAGAGTGCAGAAGTGGTTTACAAGAATGGTTCCAGGAATAAGAAGTTTCAGTTATAAGAATAGATTGAAGAAGTTGGGCCTGTTCACCTTGGGGAGAAGAAGACAAGACAAAATTTGACAGAAATTTTCAGTAAATACAATGAGGCCAGACAGACAGGAAGAAACTATTCCTACTCATAACATGATCAAGAACCAGATTCATAGATTTTAAGCAATTTGCGAAAAAGCAAATGTGAGTTGAGAAAAAAAACTTTTTCACCCAGTGAGTAGTTAGGGTCTGGAATGCACTGCCTGGAAATGAGATGTAAGCAGGTTCAATTAGAAAGAAATAAGGTGCAGGGTTACAGGGAAAAAAAGCAGGAGATTGGCACTGTGTGATGATGTTCATTTGAAGATCTGATGCAGATATAACGAGCCAAATGATCTCCTGCACCAAAATACATCTGTGATTCTATGATAACAAAACCCTGTTTTAATTGCATTAGGAGTGTGAGGGATTCTCCTCAGCAAACTATCACACGGTTATTCCCATATCTCACCCTCTCTGGGCTTTTCCAGGGAGGGGAGCTGATTGTCAAGACGAGTTCCCAAATTTATAACTTCATTTGGAGCCAGTCTTATGTTCAGAGGCTGAGCCCACTAGTGTCCTGAGGTGTCCTGGATTTCTGTAGGAGGTGAACGACCTTTCTGTAAAAGTAGGAGCTGGGATAGGGCTATCAGATTAAGTATGTTGACTGGAGCTCCTGCAACCAGCTTTTTAACACAATTCATCATCAGCTTCCATTGTAAGAAACCAAATGGACCTGAAGGATTGGAAGAAAGACCAGCACAGATACAGTGGCCTGAATGGACTCCATACCTCTAAGAACCTGTGACTTTATATATTCCTGTCTTTACAGTCATTGGATGTTGCAAAATGCCTTATAACCAATGAATGTAGTGCGGTCACTGTAGGAAATATGGCAGTCATTTATTGCACAGCAAGCTCCCACAAACAGCAATGTGATAATGAATAGGTAGTTTTTGGTAGTGCCGTTTGAGAGATAAATATAGGCCAGGACACTGGGGAGAACTTCCTTCTTCAGCGTAATGGTACTGTCCACTCGAGTGAGCAGGCCTACAATCTCATCCAAGAGGAGGACAGTTTTTCCTTTGTTGTTTGAGTTGTGGGCGTTGTCAGCATCTGTTGCCCATCCCTAATTTACCTTGATCTGAATGGACCATTTTCAGAGGGCAGTTCCAAGTTAACACATTGCTGTGGGTCAGGAGTCACAAGTAGGCTAGACCAGGTAAGGATTGCAGATTTACTTCCCTAAAGAACATTAATGAACTAAATGGGTTTTTACAGCAACCAGTGGTCACCTCACCAACACTGACTCTGGCTTTTAATTCCAGACTTATTCATTTGCATCCACCAACTGCATGGACAGAACCTGTGTCCCCAGAGTATTCACTGGGCCTCTCCATTACTAAACCAGCGATACTGCTACTTTGTCACTGTCTTCCCTAATGAATGAGGAACAAGAAACACCCATCACCCCTTCCCCCTCCCCCCTCCCCCCTCAAACCAATAATGGGGAACATGATACGCCCATCTACCACCACCACTACCACCACCTCCCGCCCACCATACCAATAAGGTTTCTTATCCATCCCCAGCATTACATCCCAGGACCATAAAGTAACTAAATGTCCCTTCTCCCTCTCCTCATGTATCTTGGTCCTTTCTGTGGGACCACAACCAGTGCTTTGTGTAGAACACAAACAGGAGGAGGTCATTTGGCATTTTTGACCTGTGCTTTCATTCAATTCAATCTTGGCTCCTCTGCTTTTTAACTCTGTTTATCTGCCTTGGTTCCATTCATTTGAAGTAACTCCATAGAAGCTGGTATCCTGTCACCAAGTCACCTTTTACTAACACATGCATAGTACTTGACACTGGGTCTGGCTCCCTCACAGTCAGCCCTCAGAGTGAGCAGAACCTCTGACACTTCTGTTGTTATCTGTCAGCCAGGGCTCCCCGTTTGGACCAGTTTAACAGCCCCAATCAGGGAAATCATATTCTATAAGGTCCAGAAGATAGAAAGGACTGCTCATGCTGGAAGTCAGAGTCGATAAAATATGGCAAAACGCCTTACAACCAATGAATGAAACTCATTACAATCACTACACCCTTAAGTGACAATGTACAGAAAAAAAGTAACTAAATAAACCATTGTATCTGAGATAATTGGAATAAATGCACAACACAACCCTATATTGAAGGAAACTACATCATTTTTATAATAAAGACTGAAAGTTTTGGAGAAACGTAGCAGGTATGGCCATACCCGTGGATGGAAAAACAGAGTTAATGTTTTGAGTCCAGTGTGACTGTCATTTAAAACACTTTATATAACTTGTTAAGAAGGCGGTTCCTCCCCATTTCTGCCTGTTTGCTCTTCAAAGATGTTGATTTATGCTGGAATACTATCCCAGGGCAGCCAATTCTCCAGTAACTCATTCAATTATCATATAAGGAGGTCATTCAGCCCACTGTGTTTGTGTCACATCTTTTAAAGAGTCCCATTAGTCTGACTCTATTTTTTTTCCCCACAAAACCCTGTAATTTAAAATAAAATTATTTTCAAGTATATACCCAATTCCCTTTTGAAAGTTATTGTTGAATCTGCTGCTCCATGCAGCACATTCCCCATCTTAAAATCTCATTGCGTAGGAACAATTCCCCTTTTCTCAGCTTTAATATTTTTGATTATCCCCTTAAATCCATGTCCTCCAGCTACGAACTCCAATGTCAGGGGAAACCAAATTCAATCCAACACAACAGAACCATGCGGATGTGGAGTTGATGGGCTGAATGGCCTCTTTTCACATCATAGCAATACTGTGAGAACAATTCATGATCATTCACAATAACTAGTAAGTATATCATTCATCATCAGATTTACTCAACAATTTACAAAGCCCCATATTTCATCTGGTCCTTTGGTGGCCATACATTCAGCTGCTTGGGCCCTATGCTCTGGAATTCCCTTTCTAAGATTGTCTATCCCTCGTTCCTCCTTTAAGATGTCCCACGTCATTGGCCAAGCTTTTAGTCACCCTGTCCTAATATCTCATTATGTGGATTGATGTCAAATTTAGCCTGATTTCACTCCTGGGGACATTTTTTACCAAGTTAAAGGTGCTACAGAAACGCAAGTAGTTGCTTTTGTTGAGGACTTTACCTATTTCCAGCACCAGGTGTACTCTCTTCAACCTTGATGTTTTCATTCTCCAGGTGAAGACCTTTTATTCATTTTCTAACGAACCGTTGATAATCCAGAACATCAAGAGAGGCCTCACCAGCCTGTTCCAAGTACAGCTCACAACGACCAGTCAGACCGAGGTAAACCTATCTTTATGAAACAGTTCTATATCTTTTAGGGTTGTGGTGGGTCTGCAATTTCATGATTCATTGCAATTCACTATTCAAACTTGCTCCTGTACACACACTATTTAATCTCAATAAATGCGTGTTTCATGTTGGCTTCTTCTATTAAAAATAACAAAATTTTTCAGCATTTACTCTCTCCAATACTGACGCTCTGTAGTAGCAGTGCATACTAGCTACAAGATACACTGCAGAAATTCACCAAAGATCCTCAGACAGCACCTTCCAAACCCACGACCACTTCCATCTGGTAGAACAAGGGCAGCCAATACATGGGAACACCACCCCCTGCAAGTTCCTTTCCAAGACATTCACCATCCTGACTTGGAAATATATCACTGTTCCTTCACTGTTGCTAGGTCAAAATCCTGGAATTCCCTTCCTAATGGCATTGTAAGTGTACTTTCTAGTCACTGTCTTCTGGAGGGCAATTAGGGATGGGCAATAAGTGCTGGCCTAACCAGTGATGCCTATTATACTCCCTGTACACCCACAACTGTGTTGCCAAATTCCAAATGAACGCCATCTACAAGTTTGCTGACGACACACTGTAGTGGGACAGATATCTAACAACACTAGTCAAGATACAGAAGGGAAATAGAGGACTTGTTGATGTGGTGCAAGGAGAACAACCTCTTTCTCAAAGTCGGCATTGATCATTGACTTCAGAAAGAAATGATGTGAATGCGTTGCCATCTACAACAACGGAACTGAGATTGAGAGGGTGGAGAGCATCAAGTTCCTTGGAGTGACGATAACTGACAACCTGTCCTGGGCTTCCCATGTAGATGTAATGGTCAAGAAGGCACAACAACACCTCTTCTTCCTCAGGCAGCTCAGGAAATTTGACAAGTCCATAAGGTCCCTCACCAACTCCTACAGATGCACCATTGAAAGCATACTGTCCGGGTGCATAACGGCCTGGTACGGCAACTGCTCTGCCCAGGACCGTAAGAAACTACAGAAGGTGCTGTGCACAGCCCAGACCATCACAGAAGCCAACCTCCTGTCCATGGACTCCATTTTCATGACTTGCTGCCGTGGAAAGGCAGCCAACATCATCAAAGACCCATCACACCCCAGTAATGATCTCCTACAACCTCTTCCATCAGGCAGAAGATACAGAAGCCTGAACACATGCACCAGCAGGTTCAGGAACAGCTTCTTCCTGGCCGTTATTAGACTGATGAGGGGACTCTTTACCCTCAAATAATGCTGATCTTGTTAAAGTTGATCTTGGCTAGCGCATGCCCTGTGCAATGTAACCTCTATGCCTCTAGCTAAATCTTTTTATAAGCTCTCATCTGTACATCCTTACTTACTAAGATCTGTCTACACTGCTGGTAAACAAAGTTTTTCACTGTACTCCAGTACACATGACAATAAATCAACCAATCAATCAATCAATTAATCAAACCACAGCCCATGAATGAACATGAAGAAAGTAAACTTGACACAAAAGCTACAACAGCAATAATCTTTACCATGTCTGCAGCTACTGATTGTGTGAGATGACAAGGCAACTGAAATGACTCATAAGTGATGGATAGAAGGAGTGGCCAGCTCCTGCATAGTAATACCTATCATAGCTGGGAACTGTCCAATGACAAACTTACTTGTTCTCTATTTGTTCATGACAAGGAAAGGATCGTATGGATGGATACGCTGGGTGACCAGTGGAAAGGGTGATGTGGGTGGAGGGGAGTGAGATGGTTGAAGGTGATGAAGCCTCTATGGTTCTCCATAGAGTCATACAGCATGGAAACAGACCCTTCGGTCCAACCAGTCTATGCTGAACATAATCCCAAACTAAACTAGTCCCGCCTGCCTGCTCCTGGCCCATATTCCTCCAAACCTTTCCTATTCACGTATTTATCTAAATGTTTTTTAAACGTTGTAACTGTACCTGCATACACCACTTCCTATGGAAGTTCATTCCACACGCGAGCCACCCGCTATGTAAAAATTTGCCCCCATGTCTTTTTTAAAATCTCTCTCCTCTCACCTTAAAAATGTGCCCCCTAGTTCTTGAAATCCCCGATCCTAGGGAAATGACAACTATCCTTATCTCTATCTATACCTCTCATTATTTTATAAACTTCTATCAACCTCCTACGCTCCAATGAAGAAAGTCCCAGCCTATCCAGCCTTTCTCTATAACTCAAACCTTCAATATCTGGCAATATCCTGGTAAATTTCTTCTGAACCTTTCCCGGCTTAATAATATCTTTCCTATAACTGAGAACCAGAACTGGACACAATCTTCCAGAGGAAGCCTCACCAATGTCCTGTACAACATCAACGTGAAGTCCCGACTCCTATACTCAAAGGATGGAGCAATGAAGGCAAGTGTGCCAAATGCCTTTTTAACCACCCTGTCTATATGTGATGTAAACTTCAAAGAATTATGTACCTGAACTCCTAGGCCCCTCTGTTCTGCATCACTACCCAAGACCGGCCATTAATTATAAAACCCTACCCTTGTTTGTTGTACCAAAATGCAATACTCACATTTATTCAGATTGAACTCCACTTTTTCAGCCCATTGACCCATTTGATCAACAACCCTTTGTAATCTTAGAAAACCTTCTTCACTGTACTATGCCACCAATTTTAGTGTCAAACTTACTATGTTCCTGGGTATGGAAGGTTTGAGTTATAAGAAAATGCTGAATAGGCTGGGACTGTTTTCACTGGAGTGTAGGAGGTTGAGAGGTGACCTGGTAGAAGTTCATGAAATAATGAGGGGTACAGATAGAGTTAATGGTAGTTGTCTTTTCCCTAGGATGGGGGATTTCAAGACTAAGGGGCACATTTTTAAATCTCTCTCCTCTCACCTTAAAGACAAAAGAGGCAAATGTTTTATACAGGGGATGGTTCGCGTGTGGAATTAACTTCCTAAGGAAGTGGTGGATGCAGGTACAGTTACATGTAAAAGACATTTGGATTGATATATGAATAGGAAAGGTCTGGAGGGATATGGCCCAGGAGCAGGCAGGTGGGATTAGTTTAGTTTGGGATTATGTTTGGCATGGACTGGTTGAACCAAAGGCTCTGTTTCTGTGCCGTATGATTCTATGACTACTAACCATGCCTTCTATATTCTCATACAAATTGTTTATATAAATGACAAACAAAAGAGGACCCAGAACGGGTCCTTGTGGAACACTGCTGGTGACAGGCCACTAGTCTGTAAAGCAACCCTCCACCACCATACTCTGTCTCCCGCCATTAAGCCAATTTTGTATCCAATTGGCAAGATCACCCTGAATCTCATGTGACCAACCTTTACTAATTAGTCTATCGTGTGGAACCTCGTTAAAGCCTTTACTAAAATCCAAATAAACAATGGCTATTGTACTGCCATCATCAATCTTTTTGGTAACTTCCTCAAAAAATTCAATCAAGTTTGTGAGATATGGTTTTCCTTGCAGAAAACCATGCTGACTATCCTTAATCAATTTTTGCCTCTCTAAATGTCCATAAATCCTATTTTTTATTATCACCTTCAACAATTTATCCACAACTGATGTCAGACTCACAGGTCGTAGTTCTCCGGTTTCTCCTTACAACTTTCTTAAGCAAAGGTACAACATTAGCCACCCTCCAGTCATCAGGCACCTCACCCGTAGTTTTAGATGATGCAAATATTTCTGCAAGGGGTTTGCAATTTTCTCCCTTACTTCCCATAACATTCTCTGATCAGGTCCCGGAGATTTATCTACCTTTATATTCTGTAAGATCTCCCAAACTTCCTCTTCTGTAATGTGAACTGTTTTTAAAACATCAAAGTTTATTTCTCTGCATTCTCCAGACTCCATTTCTTTCTCTACAGTAAAAACTGACACAAAATGTAATTGGAGTGGGCAACCTAATGTGAGGATTGTCAAAATGAATTATCTCCTCCACTTTTAATTATCTTATTTTGTATTTCTAGTCTTTCTTTCTCTCTTATCTTTCAACTTTTTCTCATTCCACAATCCTCTCCTCTTCTCCCTTATTTCTTTCAGTTTGTCTCACGTTTCAACCATATGTTCACCAGGTTGACATCTCTGGGAAGTGCAAGGTGAATTACCAGGCCCATGACAACAAGGTGACCAAAGTGAAATTATTGGACAGTTGCAAAGGAGTTCAGAGAGGATTCACCAGTCACAGCAAGGTCAGTATTAAGATGACATCCAGCACTTCGATCCCCACAGTGATCAACAGTTCACTGATATCTGCAGGTGTGTCTATGAATAGAGAAGCCAGGAAGAATTGTGTGAAGTTGCATCAAATTTACATTGCAGAGACAGGTCATTCAGACCATCTGCTCCATGCAGTGTCTCTTCTCCAGATAAGCCTACTCACATTTTACTTCATTAGCTATCTTCCTTCTCCCATTTCCCTCTTGTCCTTAGCCAGAGGCAGGTGGAAGCAGATTCAATAGGAACTTACTGAGGGAATTGGAGAAATATTTGCAAAGGAAGGAAGACCAAAGGGAAAGAGTGGGAGATTGCGGCCAATTGTGTATGTGAAAATCCTGTGTACGTGTGTCAGTGTGTGTGTGAGAGTCTGTGTGTGCATGACTGTATGTGTGAATGTGAGTATGTGTCTGTGTGTGTAAGTATCCTGTGTGCAGCAGGCGGTAAAGTAGGCAAGTGGTATATTGGCCTTCATTGCGAGAAATTTTGAGTACAGGAGCAGGGATGTGTTGTTGCAGTTGTACAGGGCCTTGGTGAGACCACACCTGGAATATTATGAGCAGTTTTGGTCTCCTTTTCTGAGGAAGGATGCTCTTGCTCTCGAGGGAGTGCAGCAAAGGTTTACCGGGCTGATTCCGGGGATGGCAGGACTGATGTATGAAGAGAGATTGACTAGGTTAGGATTGTTTCAGACAAGTGAGGGGGTATCTCATACAGGTTTATAAAATTTTAACAGGACTGGACAGGGTAGTTGGAGGGAGGAACAAAAACAAAGTTGCTGGAAAAGCTCAGCAGGTCTGGCAGCATCTGTGAAGGCAAAAACAGAGTTAACATTTCAGGTCCAGTGACCCTTCCTCAGAACTGATGGTGGCTGGGAAAACGTCAGTTTATATGCAGAAAATAGGGTAGGGAGTAAACGATAAGATAGAGCCCAAAGAAAGAGAAAGACAGTGGGACAGACAAAGGAGTTGCTAACGATCAGGCTGGGAGGGTGAATAGTTGTTAATGGGGACCGTTAGTGACTAACAACAGGGGTTGTGTAAAGGCAGGCTATGTGGTAACAAAGCCTGGTATGTGGGGTAGGTGGCTGGGACATGGGAGAGTTTAAGCCCTAAAATTATTGAACTCAATGTTGAGTCCGGAGGGCTGTAAGATCCCCAAGCGGAAAATGAGATGTTGTTCTTCCAGCTTGCGCTGAGCTTTGCTGGAACTCTGCAGCAAACCAGAGACAGAGGTGTTGGCCAGGGAACAGGGTGGTGCGTTAAAGTGGCAGGCAACAGGTAGTTCAGAGTCTTTTTTGCGAGCAGAACGTAGATGTTCTGCAAAGTGGCTGCCAAGTCTACGCTTTGTTTCCCCAATGTAGAGGAGACCACAATGTGAGCAGTGAATGCAGTAGACCAGATTCTGGTCTACACTGGGGAAACGAAGCGTAGACTTGGCGATGATGAAGCAGTGAGCATGAAAGAAGAAATTACACTTCTTTTCTTTTGAGATAAATTAGTTCCTACATATGATTTATTAATATATTACACCCAACTTTGATTAAAGCAAAGGAAATGATTCCTGCTTCATGTTTCCCATTTGTATTAAATTGGATGACAAATGACTTGCTTCCACTTTTGGTTATTTTCAATTAACCTGTTTGAACATGTTATGACACACCTCCAACACAGGTAGGTCTTGAACATGGGCCTTCTAATCCAGAGGTAGGGACGCTGCTAATGCATCACAAGAGTCCTGGAATTTGCATTTTTTTGTCGAGCTGTGATGACCACTTGAGTTTTAGTTAAAGGTTCTGACTTTGAGGGATCAACACCAGTCATCTATTTACAATGAGAATCACTGACTGTGATGGAAGAGCTATATTCAAGGTGAGAGAGTGAAACGATATTGTACCGTTATGCATTTTAATGCTGACTTTAATTTTTTAGGTATTAGGAGTCAATACAACATCAACATCAGCTAGCATTTATCTACTGGAGAAGAATCTCATTCGTTCTGTACTGTCTGAGGAACATATCCTGGTTTCACTCAATCTACGGCAAGAATTGGCAGCCAAAGTTTTATCGACGTGAGTTCACAATGTTGATACTTGAACAGAGGGGAGACTTGCATTTATATAGTGCCTTTCTCAAACCCAGGATGTCCCAAAGCACTTTACAGCCAATTAAATAATTATTGAAGGTGTTGTCATGGTTGTAATGTAAATAATAGAGTTAAACATGCACCAGAATTCACTTATTATAATGTCTAAAGTTACAACACTGAAACTTGAGAAAGGCAGACAAGATTGATCATTTCAATATTATCACTTGTAGTCAATAAACTGAAATGCCATTTCTAAGCCATCTTTTCACATTGAAATGGGGAAAAGCATGGGGAATATGCCTGTCAAACGTTGCAGCATGGTGGATTTCTACAGGAAACTGAACAGCATGTGGAAAACCCCTAACATTAAAACTATTTCCTTCTCTTTATAGACAGAGGTTGGAGTTTCAGTTGACAAAGACGGGACCTAAACAAATCCAAGCAGAACAAATTAGCAGTGTTGTTAATCATGTGAATCCGGAATTTGTGTCCATCCCTCTGACCTCAGCAGCTGTCAAAGCAACGTGCAAAGGTTGCCCTTCAGTAAGTAGTCAAAACATTTCTAACGTTCTTTTGGTGATGTTTGAGAATTAATTTTGCACATTAAGTTAGTCCTGAAGAATATTTTTTCCATAGTTTGCAGCTGGCATCAAAAAAAACAAGCATTTCCAATTCATAGAATTATAGAATTCGCATCGTGTGGAAGCAGGCGACTTGGCCCGTCGAGTTTACATTGCCCCTCCGAAGAGTATTTCAACCAGACCCTATCCCTGTAACCCTGCATTTCCCATGGCCAACCCACCTAGCCTGCACGTCCCTGGACACTATGGGAAATTTAGCCATGAGCAGAATTTTTATTGGCAGTCCCTTCATATCGAGGATATTCCTTTCAGTGGATAAGTCGGGGAGAAGCAAAATGTCTCTTTTTGGAACAGCTTTGGAGTCCTGTCTTGGTTATACATTGCTCTTCCACTTTCAGGCCATCAGTCCTCAGCCAGTCATCTGGGGACTGTTGTAATTGTCCTGTATTTCTGTCTCTCTCACCATTCTCTTTTTCTCAGTCACTGCTCTTGTTAATTGGAAGCTCTTGATATAATTTTAGATGATGAACTGCCATTATGGACAGGATAACCCTGTGCCTTACGAAGGTTAAGTTTGTATTTTTCTCTCTCTGTTGGCAGCTTATTGACTATTGGAAGACCATACGGGAAGAACTGGAGCCTGAGAACCTTGCAAAAGCCTCTGCCACCAGGAGTTTCCTATTGCTGGTTCAGGCTTTGAGAAAAGCCAAGAAGGAAGATATCCTGAAAGTCCTGAGAAGTGAGAATGACAGCACACTGTGAGTCACACTCTCACTCACTGCTCTAAGACAATTTCGGATTTTGAGGATGGACTTGGTGAATCAATTTGCCAAGGACACAAAAGTCAGGAAGGAGGCAGATAATAAGGACCATTGTAAAGGACGAGCAAGTAGTGGAGAAATGTTGTCTTTCTTGAAAATCAGTGAGACTTTTTGATTAAAACAGAAATTGCTGGAGAAACTGAGCATGTCTGGCAGCATCAGTAGAGAGAAAGTAGAATTAACTTTTCAAGTCCAGTGACCTTTCCCCCAAACCTTGCAGGACTCTGCAGCCTTTAGGACTCAATAATTTTGGGGCCTGAGCATCTTCTTTCATGTCCTTTACCCATCCCCACACTCCAGGTCCTGTCATGACATGGGCTGCTTTTAGCACAGTCAAACCCATTTTCATCTACACATGGTCCCCATTATCACCTCGCGAGCTTCTCTTCTTCCTGTTCTGAAGAAGAATCATACTGGAATCAAAACAACTCTGCTTTCTCTCTCCACAGATGCTGTCATGACCTGCTGAATACCTCCAACAATTTCTGTTTTTGTCTGATTCCCAACATCCGCAGCTCTTTGTTTTATTTCATACTAGGCATAAAACTAACAAACACAATTACAGGTAGTAAATAAATCATTTTCTTCATCTGTTTCATATGCCCCCACCACCCCCATCCAATAATGACCCTAGGACTGAAGTCAAATGAACTGAATGAAAGAGTTGTAATAGCAGATTGACACTGTGCAGCACAGAGATTGGGAATAAACCCATTCACAGGACAGGAGTAGCTTTGAATCAAAGTTTAACACCCTTTAGTTTGTTGATTAAGGGGACTGTTATTTATCAGTTAATTGTCTTAAACTAAAAGTAGAGAAAATAGTAAGTGAAACTTGGAGCTGGCCTTACTGGTTGAACTCGTCTTGCGTACACTAATATGGAACTCACAGTTTGAATCAGCGCCATTGTTTCCAAGTTTTACTTGTGGTCTTTGCCCAGATGACCACTGCTGGCACTTGTGGTATTTGCCATTTTGCCAGCATGTGGTTGTTTGAGCAACTAGGGCAACAGGTAGATGATTGGTTAGAGTTGATTAATTGATCTGTCTGTGTTGAATAATTCAATATTTCTTAAATTTGATCTGAATAGTTCCTGAATACAGAGTAACATCCGTGTGACTGTGGACAGGGTAGAAGCGATTACTCAATGTAAAGAGACAACAAGGTGCAGGGCTGGATGAACACAGCAGGCCAAGCAGCATCATAGGAGCAGAGAGGCTGACGTTTCGGGCCTAGACCCTTCATCAGAAAA